ACAGGAAGCATAGGTGGGACAAGGAGAGAGAATTGGGAAAATAGGAAGAAGGTGGCGGCAGCCACCGCCAGGACAAGCAACATGTAAAGATGCTGGTAAGCCACCAGCCACGTGGCAAGGTATAAATTTATAGAAATGGGTTAATTTAAGATATAAGAACAGTTAGCAAGAAGCCTGCCATGGCTATACAGTTTATAAATAATATAAGTGTCTGAGTGATTATTTTATACGTGGATTATGGAACTGTGGGGCTTGGTGGAACCTGGAGAAAAGCCCTCTAGCAACATACATGCTTGTCTGAAGTTCTCAAACAATAAAGAGATGAACGGGGCAAAAATAACCTGTGTACATTGTATGCCTCTACAAAATGTCTTAATGAAGCCCATTACTTTCTACAAATACATACTCATTAAAAAAAATGTTCTTTTTCTGAGAAAGGGTATCATATAGCTCATGACAGCCTCAGATTCACTATGTAGTAAAGAATGACCCCAAACTCCTCATCCCTGAGATCCACCACCTTTGGGTTGCTGGAGTTAGGGGGTTGTTCCTTGATGCTCAGTTGGTGTGTGGCTGGGGATCAAGCCAAGGACTTCAAGTATTCCGGGGCAGATCTCTACCACACCCACAACTCATATCACCATCTCTTAGGAACAGGGATTGGGGATAGAAAAAAGGATGAGTGAGAAAGAAGATACAGAAAAGAGGATGGAGAGATGGCTCAGTGTTTCAGAGCACTTGCTGCTCTTCCAGAGGACACCAGTGTTCTGGTTCCAGCACCCACTTTGCAGGGTGGGTGGGGGTTCACAAAGGTTGGTATCTCCAGCTCTCAGGAATCTGATGCCTTTTGAAGGAACAAGGCATGTGCTCACAGAGTTGTATAAGATGAAAATAAATCTACATTGGGCATGGTGGGTTACACCTTTAATTCCATCACTCAGTAGGTACAGCCCAGACACAGAACTCAGTGAGTTCCAGGCAAGCTCTGCTCCTAAGAAATGGAGAAAAACCAGGGGTTGTGGTCCATGCCTTTAATCCCATCACTCAGAGGTAGAGGCATGTAGATCTCTGAGTTCCATGTCACTCTAGTCTACAATGAGAGTTCCAGGACAGCCAAGGCTACACAGATAAACCTATCTTGTAAAAAAAAAAAACAGAGAGAGAGAATCTGGGGATCAGACAGATCAGGAAAAGATGTTTACCAAGTACACATCTAATTCTGGGCTAATACCCAAAATAAATAAAGAATCCAGAAAACTGGATATCAAGAAAACAATCCAAATAAACACTGGGATACAGATTTAAACACAGAATTTGCAAAAGTGGAAACTCAAATGCCTGAGAAACACTTAAATATTAATTATTCTTAGCCATCAGGAAAATGCAAATCAAAACAACTCTGAGATTCTTATACCTTATACCTGTTAGTAATGCTATGGTCAATAACAGAAGATAAGACATGTGGTGGTGCTCACCTTTAATCCCAGCACTTGGGAGGCAGAGAGAGGCAGATCTTAGAATTCAAGGCCAGCCTGGTCTACAAAGTGGGTTCAAGGACAGACAAGACTTCACAGAGAAACCCTGACTCAAAAAACAAAAACAATACCTGGCCTGGTGGCCCATGCCTTTAATCCCAGCACTCAAGAGGCAGAGGCAGGTGGATCTCTGTGAGTTCAAGGCCACCTTTGTCCACAAAGCAAGTTCCAGGACAGCTAGAGCTGTTACACAGAGAAAGCATGTCTCCAAAAACAAAACAAAAAAAGTAAGAAAGAATAAAAGAGCATAAGATTCCTCATGCTGGTGTGGATGTGAGGAAACAGTCCATTTTTTTGCTGGAAAGAGGGCAAACTTGTACAACCTCCTTGGAAATTAACAGTGGTTCTTTCGGAAAATTAAAATTGAGGGACCTCAAGATCAGTTGTATCACTCTTGGGCATATACCCAAAGGACATTTCATGATACCACAGAGAGACTTGCTCAACCCATTCATCATTGCTCTATTCATAACAGCCAGAAAATGGAAAGGACCTGGATGTTCCTCAACAGAAGAATAAATAAAGAAAATGTGGTACTGCTGGGTGTGGTGGCACATGACTTTAAAACCAGTACTGAGGAGGCAGAGATAGGTGGACTTCTGAGTGCCAACCCAAGTTGGTCTATAGAGCTAGTTCCAGGATAGCCAGGGTTACATTAAAAACAAAACAAAACAAAACAAAAAAACCAAAAAAAAAAACCCTCCTAAACAAAAAACACTAAAATGAAAGAAAGAAAAAAAAGTAAATTTATAAAATAAAGTATTACTCAGTTGTTAAAAACAGAATGACATCATTGGGCAGTGGTGGTGCTTGCTTTTAATCTCAGCTCTTCAGAAGCAGAATCAGTAGGATCTGTGAGTTCAAGACCAGCCTGGTATATAAAACAAGTTCCAGGTAATCCAGTACTACACAAAGAAACCCTGTCTAGAAAAACAAGCAAACAGAAACAAACAAACAAAAGATATGGTGAAATTTGCAGGCAAATGGATGAATATGCAAAAAATCATGGGGGGGAGTAAACAAGAGACAGAAATACAAATATTGAAGTATTTGCTTATATGTGGATATTGCCTCTTAAGTCAGTGATAACCAAGCTACAATCCACAGAATCACAGTGGGTAGGTCCAGAGTAAGGGCCTGAGAGAATAAATAGATATCCTTAGGAAGGGGAAATAAAATAAATAGATATGGATTTAAGGGGGGGGTTTGAGAGGATAGAGTGGGAAAGGAAGGGGAGAGGGAGTTGTGGGGGAGGATATAGGGAGAGACAGGTAAAATTTGAGGACTAGTATGAAATCCTAACAGCAGAAATTTCCTAAAATATATACATATATGAAGGCAATCTAGATGAAATTGCCCACTAATGAGGGAGACAGAGCCCCAACTGACCATCACTTGTCACCCAGTGAAGCTTCCAGTACTGGGGTTGGGTAACATCTAACTGAGTTGTTGCTCACAGTGTCCCATGGGAATCCCCAAACAACCAAGGTGTTACCAAGATCATAGCTCGCTCTTGACAAACTGGCAGCAAGCCCACATGGCTGAAGACAACACCTACACAGCTAATGAACAAGGAGGAGTCAAGCTGGTGCCTACACAGAGCCTTCACCCCATCATTCCAAAACCTTTGGTACAAGAAG